ACTCTTCGAGAGTAGGCTATATTAGGGGCTCAGTCCTCCTCACTCCTCGAGGGTAGGCTATCTTAGGGGCACTGTCCACCTCACTCCTCTTGGGTAGGTAATCTTAGGGGCACTGTTCCCCTCACTCCTCGAGAGTAGGCTATCTTAGGGGCCCTGTCCCCCTCACTCCTCTTGGGTAGGTTATCTTAGGGGCGCTATTCCCCTCACTACTCGAGGGTAGGCTATCTTAGGGGCCCTGTCCCCCTCACTCCTCGAGGGTAGGCTATCTTAGGGGCACTGTCCACCTCACTCCTCGAGGGTAGGCTATCTCAGTGGCCCTGTCCCCCTCACTCCTCGAGGTAGGCTATCTCTGGTTCCCTGTCCCCCTCACTCCTCAAGGGTAGGCTATGTTAGGGGCACTGTCCCCCTCACTCCTCGAGGGTAAGCTATCTTAGGGGCCCTGTCCCCCTCACTCCTCGAGGGTAGGCTATCTTAGGTTCCCTGTCTCCCTCACTCATCGAGGGTAGGCTATCTTAGGGGCCCTGTCCCTCTCACTCCTCGAAAGTAGGCTATCTTAGGGGCCCTGTCCCCATCACTCCTCGAGGGTAGGCTATCTTAGGTGCCCTGTCTCCCTCACTCCTCGGGGGTAGGCTATCTTAGGTGCCCTGTCTCCCTCACTCCTCGAGGGTAGGCTATCTTAGGGGCACTGTCCCCCTCACTTCTCGAGGGTAGGCTACGTTAATACCTGCCCCTGGCCTTGCACCAGACACTGGTGCACAACCTACCGCTACTGAAGCTGACCGTGCAGATCAAGTACTTTCCCAGGGTGCTCCAACTAGATTATCAAATTTTCCCTTGGAGCCCCCCTTGCCTCCTCTCGAACCTGCTGTGCCTCTGCACCAGGTAACTGAGTATAAGACACATCAGTTGTCAGATGATGGCTCTAATGACTTTAACGCATCTGTAGATATTACCACCTTCAGTGAGGACGGAGACATGGTCAGTACGCAGGGAACTACTCAGAACTACACTCCCACACTTGATGAGTCGAATAGGGAAAGTTTGCATTCCATATGTGACTATAATTTCAGACACCAATCCTCTGTCCGCAGCAAACGTGCAAAACACCCCAAAAAAATGGGGATTACAATTTTCCAACTTAATGTTCAACATTTCTTTAATAACCGTTACCTCCTAAAAGTTGAACTACACAATTACAATCCTGACGTTATCCTTCTGAATGAGACTACTGTGAGACAGACCAACACATAAAGTTACATGGTTACTGTACTGTAGAGAAATTGAGAGGGGCCTCTTAGTAGAGTGGCTGTCATAGTTAAACTAGGTTATACATTTCGAAATATTCACGTTGACGAAGATAATATTATTGCAATTGAACTGACGACATCTCATGGTCAAATTCTGATGGGTACTGGTTATTTTCCTCCGAGACAACTATATATAGAGTCCATTCCCCTACATCAGATATTAAGCAGAAATATTCCAACAATTCTGGCAGGAGATTTAAACGCCCATCGCCCTGCACTCTTTAACTGTGGAGCTGGTAATCTGTTGGGCGACTTGTAAGGAAAACAATTATTTAATATCATGACAGCCAGAAATCTATTGTTTCAGAGACTATTTTTTAAGCCGTATGTAGGACCTCATCCGAGGACATCAACAGAGATTATGACCTATTCCATTGCAAAGTCTCTCCTGATGGAAACGTAGGATCTGACCACATCCCTGTTATAATAACACTACAAACTTTTCCATTTAGAATACCGGTACCTCCTAAACCCAGCCTCAACACCCTTAGATTTGACCCCTTCAGGGCATACCTATGTAACGACAATACTGTTTCGTTGGAGATTACGCCTTCCACTGCTACTGGAGACGTGATCAGCTCCCTCCACAACCGAATACTAGATGCCATTAATGCAACTTCCCAGTTACCTTCAACAAAGATCTATTAACTAGGGAAATTAAAGACTGCATGAAAAATTATCAAACAGATTGTCGACGGCACCTTAAACACAGCAGCCACCAGGGGCTACACTGCATAGGTTGAGGCAGGACTTAATTACCATGATTAGTCATCACAAACGAGTCTTATGGAAATATCTTGTTATTCAAGCTAACCAGTATAAACGTTAGCCTGCAAAGTTCTGGAGCAAGATCCGGCAGCTTCTAGGGGCAAAGCACAAGGCTCCCAGTTATCTCGTACATTCCATCTCTGATAATGATGAGGAGGAGGTTGATATAAAACTTGATGATCCACAGGACCAGGCTAATCTGATGGGTGATGTGTGGGAGAAAATTCTCTCATACAATACAGTCGATGATTTAATAATAATCACTATCAGTTGGTAAATGAGTGGAGAGATGATAACTTAGCTGATCTACAACCACTACCTTCCATCGATACATCAACTCTTGAAGATACCCACCCTCTTACTAGACCTATCACACTACTTGAGATGAGTCAAGTTATTGGACGAATGCGTAATAAAGCTCCTGGTCTTGTTGTTTCAACGTTTCGCCCTATAGGAGCTTTGTCAAGCCGTAACAGCTCCTGGTCTCTCTGGAATAATGATGAAACAAATAAATTTCTTACCAAGAAATTGCAAACAGTCTTTGGTCAATATCTTTAATGCCATCTAGACCTCAGGACACTCTCCAGTGGTTTTTAAGTCTGCAAGGATGATCTTCATTGCTAAACCCAATAAAAACAACCACCAACCTGGGAACTGTAGACCAATGTCTTTACTTGAAGTCACTGGAAAAGTTCTTGAGAAAATCATTTCCTATGGATTGAACTATTATATGGAGTATAATCACCTCTTTACTGAAAAACGGTTCTGCTTCAGGACTCACAGAAGTGCCCATCATGCAATAAATATCATCTTCGACGCTGCTGATAGCCTGAAGAAACAGCTTACCCTGATTGCCACCAGGGATGTTTACAAAGCCCCAGACAGCTTGTGGCATGATGGTTTTATATTTAAACTGGTTGACCTTCCTGACCACAACTGGTCCTTTCTCAGATTTATATATAACTTCTTGTCTCAAAGAAAAATTATCCCTACCTTTAACGGCAAGTCGACAGAGCCTTTTATACCGACAGCTGGAGTACCACAATGGGAATATCTCCATCAGAGGTGCAACTGTAGCCATTTGAAACCCCAAGATATATTTAGCCAAAGCCTGTCTTAGCAGTCTATATAGGTCTAATCAAGCCCCATCACACGACAAAAAAATCTGTATAAGATGATGATAAGACCTATACTCGAATACCCATGTGTCCCAATGTCGTTAACAACAAATACCAAAATGCTATGGTTGCAACGGGTCCAGAATAGAGCTCTCCGCTTCATTACGGGAGAGACGGAATCAGGATGGCAGACTTACACGTCCGCCAGGACACTGATGCACTAAACGTACGGCTTGATAAGCTGAAGAAGAGAAAACTTAATACAATGCAAGAACTCTACATACCAGATAGAGAACATCCTCTCCAAATTGAAAATACTACCGACTATATCATTAACACTCCTCCTCACAGGACACAAAGAATGACTCTCCCACAGAGGCTGCGTCGCTTCATTCATAAAGATAATTACCATCGACCAATGATCTTGAGCAACCTCCCTGCAGATGAAGATGATTGGGTAACACCAGAACCCTTCTATGTCTTCTAAGTACATTATCACCCGTAATTATGGAGACATCTTTTATAACTTCTATAATCTTACACACACTACTAAAACATCGCCACACTTATTATGGTGGGGCACGCCGAGCTGCTCAGTATTTCTTAGTAAACTGCACGTATATTAATCTCCTTGCCAATGTCACTACCAACCTTCGTCCTGCAATTGCAGATTATATAACCATTACCAACTCAGAGTCATACACCAACATATTTGTTGTATCTGTGTGATTTTCATGGGTAAGTGTTATACCCCTTTCAATAATTTTCAGAATGATATTACACATACATTAAAAACTGCACCAAAGAAGTTGTGCCACTTCCCTTTATTATCCTACCTCTTCCCCCCTCCCACCGATTTCCCATATTTCTTTTCTTATCCATCCTTCTTCCTTACCCTTCTTACCTAAGCTCTGGTCATAAGTTATAGTTATGGGCTCAGTTACTGGACACAGTATGTGTCTCTGTAATGTCTTCACTAATGTTTGGTTCGGTTAATGGACACAGTATGTGTCTCTGTAATGTCTTCACTAATGTTTGGTTCGGTTAATGGACACAGTATGTGTCTCTGGCCTTCAGTGTTCTGTTAACTAAGCAAGTTATAATAGTGAACAACTGTTAACAATAACAAAATTAAAAATGGAAAACAATGATTACAACAATTACATTATTATTACAATAATATTATGACGGGGGAATATTAACTCATCAGACTAAATACTGCTGGACAAAATGGCTCTCAGAGATAAACAAAAATTGTGTGAGTTGTAATGAAAAACTGAAAGCACTAGAAATGTCCAGAATTGTTGACTGGCAGAGATATAATACCCAAGTATAAGGACTTAAAGGACATTGATAAAAATAAGAAAAATATGATTTTGTGGTGTCTTAACAAGGATATTAAAACGACTCAGTTGCAAATTAAGAAAAAACAGATCCCAAGGGTTATCAATTATTTTAACGAATTAAAACTGGCAGTAAGCCGTGAAAAACCTCTGAACTCTAAAAAAAAAAAAAAAATCTGTTTAATCCCATAAATATATTAAACTTTTTAAATGCGTCTGTAAAGGGAATTACTTCTCACTACTTTTATTCGGGAGAAATCCCCTTGACAACGTATGATCAACCCCTAAGACGCTATAATGACCCACAACTGAAGTTTATGTCCATCTGACCGAGACCTTCCGCTAGCTTACCACTCGAACCACTTCAAAATTATAGTTATGAGTATAACGAAGAATAATAACAGAGGATAAACAAGGAAAGTTTATCTGTGCTGCAGAAGCCATAAATGGATAATTTGACTCACAGGAAACACTGGAACAACATCAGTGTGAGAGTTAAGCAGCAGTGATGGTAGACTTGGGTCTTGTTCTACGAGTGTCATCAACACTGGAACAACATCAGTGTGAGAGTTAAGCATCAGTGATGGACACTTTCTTTTCGCAGTGTATCCACAGAAAAATCAGTGTGAGGTAAGCAGCAGGAGGTAGCATTTCTTGTTACAAGTGTCATCAACACATGGAACTGGTGGGAGTTAACCAGCAGTGAGGTAGAACTTCTGCCAGTGAACATGGAAACTGGTGGAGTTAGAACCCAGGCAGTGAGGTAACTGTTTGTCTAAATTCATAAGCACTGGAACAAAAGTTGTGGATAATGAGGAGAGATTTTTACTTTATCAAAATGGAACAATATCAGGAATTAGAGCAGTGATTTATTGACTTCGGATTGCTTTTCTACAAGTTTTTACAACACCAAGCAGAGGAAACAATTGCTTCACCTCACAAATGACACCCAATTTTTTTCTGAGAAATTAATGACGGAAACTGTGGGAGAAAGTGATTCAAACACTTATAACATAATCTTGGATTACCCAGATGAACGTAAACTCTGCCAGACTTTAACTGGTGGGGGTTAGAACCATGTGGGAGTGAGAATACTGTTATGGGAAATTGCTAAGCATCTAGTATGAAATGTTGTGTTAATGGAGTTTTAACTTTAGACAAATTGATTGGAACAATATGACAGGAAATCTTGAGTCTAGTGACTTTCTTGATACAGTTCAGGATTGCTTTTTAGAACAGTTTGCGACAGAGCCAACTAGAGGAAACAATCTGCTTGACCTGGTTCATGCCAACAATCACTAATTAATAATTTTGAGGTTAATGACGAGCTTGGAGAAAGTGATCACAAATCACTTAGTTTCAATATATCTTGGAATTACCCAGATAACTGCAATCAAATCTCTGTCCCAGACTTTTACTTGGCCGATTTCATGGGACTGAGAAATTACCTGGGTGGGTTAAACCGGGATGACATGACTATGGATCAGGTAGGTGATCTTGGTTGCCAATATGACATGTTTCAGAGCATAGTTCTAGCTGCCCAGACAATATTTGTTCCGAGTACGGAAATTAGATCTAAAAAGAATGATCCTAAATGGATGAACAATAAATTAAAACATCTCATTGGTCAAAACAGAGGTATATATATAGGCGTATCAAAAGATGGGATGGGCAGTTAAGAAATCAATACATTAAATTAAAGAGAGAAATAAAGAAAGGAATAAGAAAAGCAAAAAGGGATTATGAAGCAAAGGATTCAAAGACTAACCCAAAAGGGCTCTTTCAGGTAACACAGAAGTAAGATTAGGGACAAGATTGGCCCACTTAAGAGTAACTCTGGTCAGATCACTGACAGTGATAAGGATATGTGTGAAATTCTCAATACCTACTTCCTCTCAGTTTTTTTCCCAGGAAAATACTAGCGATATTCCTGAAATAATAGATTATGTAGAACAGGACGATAATAAATTATGCACGATTGCAGTAACTAGTGACATGGTCCTAAGACAAATAGAGAAACTAAAACCTAACAAATACCCAGGTCCTGATGAACTGTTTGCAAGGGAATGTACAGAAGAACTAAGCAAACCTTTGGCTAATCTTTCTAACAAATCACTACAAACTGGCATAGTGCCTGATAAGTGGAAAATGGCAAATGTAATACCTATTTACAAGGCAGATGACAGGTCCTTGGCTTCGAACTATAGACCAATAAGCCTTACCTCCATAGTGGGAAAATTTATGGAATCAATAATTGTCGAAGCAATTCGTAGCCATCTTGATAGGCACAGATTGATTAATGATTCTCAACACGGTTTTACAAAGGGGCGTTCCTGTCTTACGAATTTACTAACTTTTTTCACTAAAGTGTTTGAGGAGGTAGATCATGGTAATGAACATGATATTGTGTATATGGACGTCGGTAAGGCTTTCGATAGAGTTCCATATCAGAGGCTGTTGAGGAAACTTAAGTCACACGGAATAGGAGAAATTTTTTCCTGGGAAGAGGCATGGCTTACAAATAGGCAGCACAGAGTTTGCGTAAATGGGGAGAAATCAGAATGGGGGCACTTCACAAGCGGTGTTCCGCAGGGATTGGTGTCGGGCCCATTATTGTTCAAAATTTACATAAACTACATAGATGAGGGAATAAACAGCGATATAAGCAAATTTGCTGATGACACAAATATAAGCCGTTCAATTCATTCTAATGAGGACACTAGAGCACTCCAGGATGATTTGAATAGACTGATGCAATTGTCGGAGAAATGGCAGATGCAGTTTAATACTGACAAATGCAAAGTTGTAAATGTTGGACAGGAAAATAACCATGCCATTTATAAACTAAATAATGTAGATCTTAATTTTACAGATTGCGATAAAGATTTAGGAGTTCTGGTAAGCAGTAATCTAAAACCAAGACAACAGTGCATAAATGTTCGCAATAAAGCTAATAGAATCCTTGGCTTTATAACTAGAAGAATAAATGCTAGAAGTCCTCAGGTTGTTCTTCAACTCCATGTATCCTTGGTTAGGCCTCATTTAGACTATGCTGCTCAGTTCTGGTCACCGTTTTACAGAATGGATATAAATGTTCTGGAAAACGTACAGAGGAGGATGACGAAGATGATCCCATGTATCAGAAACCTTCCCTATGAGGATAGACTAAGGGCCCTGAATCTGCACTCTCTCGAAAGGCGCAGAATTAGGGGGGATATGATCGAGGTGTATAAATGGAAAACAGGAATAAATAAAGGGGATGTAAATAGCGTGCTGAAAATTTCGCAGCAATGGTTTCAAGTTGGAAAAATTCAGGTTCAGGAAGGATATAGGAAAGCACTGGTTTGGTAATAGAGTCGTGGATGAGTGGAACAAACTCCCGAGTACAGTTATAGAGGCTAAAACGTTGTGTAGTTTTAAAAATAGGTTAGATAAATACATGAGTGGGTGTGGGTGGGTGTGAGTTGGACCTGACTAGCTTGTGCTAATAAATCTGATGTCGTGCTCCTTCCTTAAGTGGAAGTGACCTGACTAGGTGGGTCATTGGGCTAATCCGGGGGGACTTGGACCTGCTTCACATGGGTCAGTAGGCATGCTGCAGTGTTCCATCTTTCTTATGTTCTTATGTTCTTATGACTGAGTCGTAAAACTCCAGCCATGAGCATGGAACTGGTGGGGGTTAGAACCCATGGCAAGTTAGTCGTAAAACTCCAGCCATGAGCATGGAACTGGTGGGGGTTAGAACCCATGGCAGTTAGTCGTAAAAATCCAGCCATGAGTATGGAACTGGTGGGGGTTAGAACCATGGCAAGTTAGTCGTAAAACTCCAGCCAAAGAGTATGGAACTGGTGGGGGTTAGAACCCATGGCAAGTTAGTCGTAAAACTCCAGCCATGAGTATGGAACTGGTGGGGGTTAGAACCCATGGCAAGTTAGTCGTAAAACTCCAGCCATGAGCATGGAACTGGTGGGGGTTAGAACCCATGGCAAGTTTTTTCGTAAAACTCCAGCCATGAGTATGGAACTGGTGGGGGTTTTGAACCCATGGCAAGTTAGTCGTAAAACTCCGCCATGAGTATGGAAAATGGTGGGGGTTAGAACCCATGGCAAGTTAGTCGTAAAACTCCAGCCATGAGTATGGAACTGGTGGGGGTTAGAACCCATGGCAAGTTAGTCGTAAAACTCCAGCCATGAGTATGGAACTGGTGGGGGTTAGAACCCATGGCAAGTTAGTCTTAAAACTCCAGCCATGAGTATGGAACTGGTGGGGGTTAGAACCCATGGCAAGTTAGTCGTAAAACTCCAGCCATGAGTATGGAACTGGTGGGGGTTTAGAACCCATGGCAAGTTTTGTCGTAAAACTCCAGCCATGAGTATGGAACTGGTGGGGGTTAGAACCCATGGCAAGTTAGTCGTAAAACTCCAGCCATGAGTATGGAACTGGTGGGGGGTTTGAACCCCTGGCAAGTTAGTCGTAAAACTCCAGCCATGAGTATGGAACTGGTGGGGGTTAGAACCCATTGGCAAGTTAGTCGTAAAAACTCCAGCCATGAGCATGGAACGGTGGGGGTTAGAACCCATGGGAAGTTAGTCGTTTAAACTCCAGCCATGAGTATGGAATGGTGGGGGGTTTGAACCCATGGCAAGTTAGTCGTAAAAAATCCAGCCATGAGTATGGAACTGGTGGGGGTTAGAAACCCTGGCAAGTTAGTCGTAAAACTCCAGCCATGAGCATGGAACTGGTGGGGGTTAGAACCCTGGCAAGTTAGTCGTAAAACTCCAGCCATGGGGTATGGAACTGGTGGGGGTTAGAACCCATGGCAAGTTAGTCGTAAAACTCCAGCCATGAGCATGGGGAAATGGTGGGGGTTAGAACCCATGGCAAGTTAGTCGTAAAACTCCAGCCATGAGCATGGAACTGGTGGGGGTTAGAACCCATGGCAAGTTAGTCGTAAAACTCCAGCCATGAGTATGGAACTGGTGGGGGTTAGAACCCATGGCAAGTTAGTCGTAAAACTCCAGCCATGAGCATGGAACTGGTGGGGGTTAGAACCCATGGCAAGTTAGTCGTAAAACTCCAGCCATGAGTATGGAACTGGTGGGGGTTAGAACCCATGGCAAGTTAGTCGTAAAACTCCAGCCATGGGTTCTAACCCAACAGTTCCGTGGGTTGTCTATAATCGTCTTATAATAATTTTGTGAAACAAACCATAATTCTAAAAAAATAAATTATATTTTAATATTTTTTTTATTATTTTGATATATGAAGATAATGTAGTAGAGAAGGGTTCTTGATCTGAGGAACTGGGACTCCAGGTCACGGACCAACGTGGCCTGGTAGCTAAAATTCTCGCTTCACACCGCGAAAGTCTGGGTTTGATTCCCAGCAAGGGTAGAAACATTGGGTGTGTTTACACCAGTTGTCAATGTTCACCAATCAGTAAAATGGGTGAACATTGGGTGTTAGTGGACTGGTGTGGGTGGCATCCTGGGTGTTAGTGGACTGGTGTGGGTGGCATCCTGGGTGTTAGTGGACTGGTGTGGGTGGCATCCTGGGTGTTAGTGGACTGGTGTGGGTC